TGATGGCAGGTTGAATAAAGCCACTGGTGGCTGATCGAGGGACTGAGGCACCGTGGGGAGCCACTGTGACTCTGTGCAGCGTCAGTCATAAACAGGCGGCAGAAGGAACATGATGTAACAGTGCTTACTCTGTTGATGCATCTGCAACCTGCCACTGTGGAGCGGCAGGTTGCAGAGAGAGACTAAAGCCTTTTTATTCCCTTATTGTGTCTAAGAAAATACTCAGTTTTTTCCCATGGGTTGTTCCCTCATCATTACAGACAATTTATAATACACAGAATATACCCTGAGCAATACTGGATTTCTGACAGGTATATTGTTATTTGAGAGCGAGACATCTGGAAAAATATATGGGCCGCTAAAACACTCCTACACCTCAAGTCAAATAAGGCAAGAAGTATTTTTGCCTTATTTTTACCCTAGGGTGTTTTAAAGGTAGGGTAAGTAAGTTTGAGAAACCGGCTCGAGATCGCTAGAATTTGAAAATACACGACCGGAGAAAATCTGCCACTTTCTTACAGAGCCCCTCCTCCAACACACACGAACGCGCACATGACCAATGAGGGCACGAGATAAGTTTGTGCACAGATGGAAGGCTGACAGGCAGGTAGGCCCAGGGCTGGCCCTAGACTTTTGGGGGCCCTAAGCGAGCTTTGGCTTGGGGGCGCCCCCTCACGCGTTCTCACTACACACACGTTCTCACTACACACAACATGGAACCAACTTTTGTCTTATGATGTTAGCATAAGCACACATATTGTATAAATAAGCATGTAAACACTGTGGACCTAACCTCCTCTAGGGGGGTCCGGGGGCATGCTCCTTATTATTTTTTTAAATATTGAAGTTAAAAGCATCAATCTGGTGTACTTTGAGAGCAAACTTAAGAGATCTATGGATACATCTCTCAACACCCATATGAAACAGAACTGTAAACAGATTTTTCTTTATGGATATTTTACAAATCACTTAAACTGTATTCTTGTTTTGTCATATAGTATTTCATAACTGTTTTTAATTTATTCTCTCTGGCTGTCCATCTCATAATGTTCACATAGAAACTAGCTGTCAATAGGAATATCATTCAGAAGAATTATAATTTCTTGCAAAAATCTGTTCCTAGATTTCACCTCCTGTCTTGCCTGTTTCTATCTGCGTTGTGTCTTGTTTGGATTTGTCTGTGGTTCCCTGTCGTTAGTTTCCCTGGTGTGTCTGATTACCCGATTGTGTTCACCTGTGGCCCCTGTGTTTTCTCCTTCCTCCTAAACCTGTGTCTTGTTTGTGTGATTAGTCTTGTGTGTATTTAAGTTCTGTTTTTTCTGTCTGTCTTTGTCAGTTCGTCTTTTGTCATGACTAGTTCGTCGGTGAGTGTTCTGTTTTGTCTTTGTTGTTCACCTAGCCTTGAAATAAAGGAATTTGCACTTTAATCTGCATTTGGGTCCTACCTGCTTCACACACCGTGACAGTACGAACCGACCACATTATGGACCCAGCAGACTCAGCCCTTTTGATGCGACAGGCGGAAAGTCTTGGATACTCTCTGGAGTAAATGTTGTATACATGGAAAGGCGCCTCATCTAGACGGGGTAGAGAGGCTGCGTTGAAGGAGGCACGTCAGGAGGTTGCTCGCAAGCCCTGGCTCTGGAGCTTGTTGCCCGAGTGGCTTAGGGTTTTCTCACGTAGCCCTGAGTACCAGGCTTCATGTTCTGACCCTTTCCTGGGGTCTAGTCTGGCGTTTGGAGGTCCACGAAGCCTCCAAAAGACTCCTAAAAGACGAAAGGCCAAGGTTCCAGCGCCAGTTCCGGCTCCAGTGCCGGACCCAGCAGCCATGGTTCCGTGCTCCAGTACCATCCCACATAGCCATGGTACCGTGCTCCAGTACCACCCCACACAGCCATGGTTCCGTGTTCCAGTTCCTTGCCCAGCAGCCATGGTTCCGGCTCCAGTGCCGGCCCCAGCAGCCATGTTTCCGGCTCCAAGACCGGCCCACACAGCCATGATCCAGGCTTCAGCTCCGGACCTTACAGCCATGTTTCCGGCTCCAGAACTGGATCTTACAACCGTGGTCCCTGCACCAGAGCTGGCCCATACAGTCATGGTCCCGACTCCAGCACCTCGTCTCCTGCTGGCTCCCCAGCCGACGCCAGCTCCCCGAGTCTTGTCAGTGTACCGGCCGACTCCAGCACCTCGTCTCCTGTTGGCTCTCCAGCCAACACCAGCTCCCCGAGTCTTGTCGGCGTACCGGCCGACTCCAGCACCTCGTCTCCTGCTGGCTCCCCAGCCGACGCCAGCTCCCCGAGTCTTGTCGGCGTACCGGCCGACTCCAGCACCTCGTCTCCTGCTGGCTCCCCAGACGACGCCAGCTCCCCGTGTCCTGTCGGCGTACCGAACGACCCGAGTCCCCTCTCAAGTTCCTACCCGAGTCCCCTCTCCAGTTCCTACACGAGTCCCCTCTCCAGTTCCCTCTCGGGTCCCCTCTCGAGTCCCCTCTCCAGTCCCCTCTCCAGTCCCCTCTCCAGTCCCCTCTCCAGTCTCCTCTCAAGTCCCTTCTCGAGTCCCCTCTCAAGTCTCCTCTCTAGTCCCTCCTTTAGTCCCCTCTCTAGTCCCTCCTCTAGTTCCCCTCGTGAGTCCCCTCGTGAGTCCCCTCTCGAGTTCCCTTCTCTAGTGCCTCCTCTAGTCCCTCCTTTAGTCCCTCCTCTAGTCTCTCCTCTAGTCCCCTCTCGAGTCCCCTCTCTAGTTCCCCTCTCGAGTTCCCCCTTGGTTCCCCTCTCGAGTCTCCTCTCGAGTCTCCTCTCGAGTCTCCTCTCGAGTCCCCTCTCGAGTCACGTCTCAAGTCCCTACCCAATGTCCTGGTCCGTTGGAGGTTCCGCTGGGGGTCCTGCCAACTCCATGTCCTGTCCCGTTGGAGGCCCCGTCGACTACTCCTCTGCCGAGGGTCCTGCCAATCGTATGTCTGCCCCGTTGGAGGTCCCGCCGTCTACTCTCCTGCCGGGGGTCCTGCCAGCTCCTTGTCCTGTCTCGTTGGAGGTCCCACCGACTACTCTCCTGCCGGGGGTCCTGCCAACCCTTTGTCCTGTGCTGTTGGAGGCCCCGCCGACTACTCTCCTGCCGGGGGTCCTGCAAATCCCGTGTCCTGGTCCTCTTCCGTGGGGGATCCTGCAGAGGCCTGTCCCACCAGCTCCGACACCGGGTCCTGCCCGGTCTCCGGCACTGTCCCGTCAGCGCCTTCCTGCCCGGCCTCCGGAGCTCTCTGGTCTTCGCCCTCGAGCCCGGGCCCCTGAGAGCCGCGGTCTTCGCCCTCGATCCCGGCCCTCTGTGAGCCGTGGTCTTCACCCTCGAGCCCGGCCCCCTGAGAGCCGCGGTCTTCGCCCTCGATCCCGGCCCTCGATCCCGGCCCTCTGTGAGCCGTGGTCTTCGCCCGCGATCCCGGCCCCCTGACTCTTCCTGCCGCTGCCTTCGCCCTCATGCTCGGCCGCCCGAGTCCCCCACCTTAGACTCTGCCTTACCCCCGGGCCGTCCGCCCGAATCCCCCTTTTTGAACTCTGCCTTGCCCCCGGGCCGTCCGCCCGAGAACCCCTCCTTGAACTCTGCCTTGCCCCCGGGCTGTCCGCCCGAGATCCCTTCCTGGTCCTCTGCTGTGCTCCTGGGCGGTCAGCTCAGTCCCGTCCTCCTGACCCCCTCCACCCACCCTGGTGGCCTAGTGATACGTCCCTCCTCCGGACCCCCTCCACCCACCCTGCTTGAGGACTTTTGTGTTTTTTTACTGTCACGATCTGTCTTTATGGTGTTTTGTCTTGTCTTGTTTCATGTTTTATTTTGAAAGGTCTTCACCTCCTGTCTTGCCTGTTTCTGTCTGCGTTGTGTCTTGTTTGGATTTGTCTGTGGTTCCCTGTCGTTAGTTTCCCTGGTGTGTCCGATTACCCGATTGTGTTCACCTGTGGCCCCTGTGTTTTCTCCTCCCTCCTCACCTGTGTCTTGTTTGTGTGATTAGTCTTGTGTGTATTTAAGTTCTGGTTTTTCTGTCTGTCTTTGTCGGTTCGTCTTTTGTCATGACTAGTTTGTCGGTGAGTGTTCTGTTTTGTCGTTGTTGTTCACCTAGCCTTGAAATAAAGGAATTTGCACTTTAATCTGCATTTGGGTCCTACCTGCTTCACACACCGTGACAGTGAGGGTCTAAGGACAGAGGGTGTTGTATTGTCATACTGATATTCTGTACAAACTGTGAAGTCCACTGAGACAAATGTAACATTTGTGATATTGGGCTATATAAATAAATATCTATTGATTGATTGAAAGCACTTAAGATATTAATTGCTATCGGGATGTTAAGAGCATTCCATGGAATATAACAAAATGTGTATCTTGAGCGGTTTCTCAAACTTACCTACCGTACCTTTAAATCAACACTAAAGACTCACTTCTTCTCTCTGGCCTTCTAGTCAGAGCGGAGCACGACTCATGACATTTCCCTGTGTTTGATTTTTATATTTGCTGTTGTAATTTATTGTCTTCTGTTTGCGATCGCAGTAATGTGTTTTTTATTTGCATGTACAGCACTTTGGCTCGACCAAAAATCGTTTTTAAAATGTGCAATATAAATAAAACCTGATTTGATTTGATTTTCAAAAGATATTTAATAAATTGATAAGTGATGTTGTAAACAATTATATTATTAAAATAGTTACCAATGATTTTGTGTCATGGACTGATGCATTAATTAGATATTATATATAGATATTATACAAAATGCGTTACAAATGTATTTTAGTTGCCTGCTCAACAATAGACACAAAATTATCTTATCATATTTGAATTACATTCAATGTTTTTTTTGTCTGAAGAATATATTTGAATATGTCTAAAGTGAAGTCTAAGATCCACCAATTTTGATTTGTGTCTGTGTCAAATCTGATTAAATGACTTCAATGTCTTTTTTTGTAGCTGTAGAACTAATGTATCTATGAAACAATCTAAACCATCACTTCTCGTTGTATGCGCAGGTACGGGTGAAGTTGTGGCCATCATGATCCCAGAGCCTAAAGGCCGTGAGATTGCTGCCTTGCTGGAGCAGCAGATCAGGGTCACGCTGTCCATCTCCATAGGAACCCGCAACCTGCACAAGTATGTGAGCAGAACGTCGGTGGTGTTTGTCTCCATCTCCTTCATCGTGCTCATGATCATCTCCCTCGCCTGGCTCGTCTTCTACTACATCCAGAGGTTCCGCTACGCTAACGCACGAGACCGCAACCAGGTATGACTGTGTGCACTTTAATCAAGGTATGAAGTGATGTTATTTCAGTAACAGGGATACTGACAGTGCTGTGGTTTTACTCTTGACATTGGCCCGTGCAATTTTCCATCTGGTTGTGGCTCTGAGGCTTTAAGGAGAATCCAAAATTAGCCCGACAGCTGGCTGAACAGAGGCGCAGCAAACCAGTGAACCATCAACCAACTCTGCTCTCTGGCCCAGTGCAAATACTTTCTATTGCCTTCCCTTCAATATGAATGGCCGCCTCTGATGTTCTTGTGACGTCTGTTATGATAACTCATCAGTGCGTGTGTTGGGGAAGCAGCCGCTGCCGTGACAACCATTGTTTGTGTTTTCACCTTGATTTATGTAGATTTTTGTTTTACAAGGATATTGAACAAGTCTGTTCCTAATTTATTTCCAAGGCAGTACAGTAAGGTAACACTGTTACAAGTTTATGTTGTGTTTGATTATTACTGGTAAACTTTATCTTACTTACTCGACTTGCCTTATTGTTCTTAAGAGACATCTAATCTCCAGACACCCCAAAACAACCACTCTTGATATTGTGTTGAATTACCTGATTTATTTGTTGTGATGTTATTTTAAAGGTCACTAGTGTACAATAGTAATAATGTACCAATAACACAAATGCAAAGAGGTGAAATTGATGAGAAATTGAAGAGTTACAGGTTATGCTGGATCTTGTCAAATGTCATATTGGGGCACATTCTCCTGTGGTTGCAGTATTTACTTTGTATCAACCCACCAAAGAGATACTGCTGACTGAGTCAATATCTGTCAATAGTATGTTGTCGTGTCAGTAATAATATTTGTTATCTCTTCAGAGACGTTTGGGAGATGCTGCCAAAAAGGCCATCAGTAAGCTGCAAGTACGCACTATAAAGAAAGGAGACAAGGTAGAGTGAGGATCCTACACTGCAAACAGTACATCTCACACACAAATCAAAGCATATTTTACTATACAGGGAGTCTAAGTCAGTCATTATTTATTTTAAACATTTACTAAAGTGTGTTTACCCATGTAGAGGACATTATACGAAAAATATATTTTATAAGCAGTATACTAATAATTAAAATGTTTATTTTATCTTATCGCATTCTCTTAATTGTTCATTGTCTTTACTGTAAAGCACTTGCTCACATTGCTTTGTAAAAGGCTGTATGATAAACATATTGTCATTATTTCATTGTTATACTTATTAATTCTAGTCATTTTCGTCTTTCCTATTTCTGTGTTTTAGGAGACTGAGTCAGACTTTGACAACTGTGCAGTTTGCATTGAAGGTTATAAGCCTAATGATGTTGTGCGGGTATTACCATGCAGGTAATCTTTGTCTGCTCCAGATTTGTCCTACATACTATAATTTGAAAAACAACAAAGTCTCTATTTGTTGAAACATAAAGTCAACATATAACTGCTGATATCTACAGTCATTTGTTTTAATACTTTTATTTTGTGCACTGTGCTTTGTTTTGCCAGGCATGTTTTCCATAAGCACTGTGTAGACCCGTGGCTACAAGACCACCGGACATGTCCCATGTGTAAAATGAACATCCTTAAAGCCTTGGGAATCCTGGTAAGGTCCTTTTTTTTATTTATTCTTTTGTGTGTTTTTCTCAAATGTTTTGCACTGCTCTTATTTCTGATATCAAGACTAATCCAACTCCAATGTGCAAAACATACAAAAGAGATGGACCCACCTAGTCTCTAAAGAATTTGTATACACGTTCCAGCTCAACGCAGACTGCACAGATGACGTTCCTCCAGACTATGAGACATCTGTCGGGGGTCCACCCACCAACGCCATCAGTGGGGAGAGTGAGGTCACGTTTAACGAGAGCTCGGTGGTTCTGGATCCAGCCGGCGGGGGGATCGGCTTCCATCAGCTCCACCCTGATGAAGAGACAGAGCCTCGGGCAGCGGAAAGCCACATCATCACCGGCGGTAAGCACAGACATCACACATTTTTAATATAGAGGAAATTACCTGACAGACAGGGAAAAGGGATTTTTGAGAATTTAATTGCAGAAAAAGCTTTCACCACATGCTCTACACGTCTGCCTATTTCTTTGTCTCTCCATTATGCACTTTAGCCATCAAGAGTACTTAAAGGATTTAGCTCAATTTAAACTAATGCACCAGCACTTACAATGATATGGCTTACGGCCCGTCCACACAGCGGCGTGCGTTGAAAGCTTCACCATTCACTTTGAATGGGGTGACGTCACTTTTCGCCGAACTGCATTGTGGGAAGCGACGCGGAGCTTTGCTGGCGTGGCTCGCTGCAAAAGTTGAGCAATGTTCAACTTTTGAAGCCTCGGCAGAAGCGTCAGCCAATCGAATCATATGCCAGTACAAGCTCTAGCCAATCAAACCGCTGCTTGTGTGTCAGGGGCGGGAGATTCATGTGATTGGTTGTTGGTCGAACTTCAGACACGCCCGCCGGCAAGCTTCAACGCACTCCGCTGTGTGGACGGGCCGTTATTGGCAAATGTACCTGCTGGTTTCTTGCTTTTCTGAGTTTGTATCTTCGTAGTTTATTGCAACTCACTTTGGATAAAAATGTCAGCTAAATGAAATGCAATTAGTTAAAGCAGTGAGTTGCTATGTCCTGCACTTGTAACATAAGTAAAAGTGCCAAAAGATACAGATGAGTGTTGTTACCATTCATGCCCCAGAGGAGAGTATCTTTCCTACAGTGTGGTGTTTCTGGTTTCATTCCCCCATGTTTGTAATCTGAGGGTTGAATTGTTTTTTTTTCTGAGCCTAAATCAGGCCAGCAGCCACCTGGTCAGTGTTCCCCATTTTAGACCCTCCTGAGAAACAAAGGAAGGTAAGAATAGCTTCCCTATCCCAGAAAGCCACAGTCTACCCTACTTACACTCAAATATTCGTCATGTTAACATATGTTGTACATTATAGCCCTTCATGCCAACGCCTAAGGGCTGTTCATTTAAATAACGACTAACTACGCACATTTCCCCTCCGTGGGACTAATAAAGATATTCTGATTCTGATTAAACATGTGCAAGCTATCAGCACCTTAATACATGCACATGCAAATACTAAAACATTGTACTTATTGTATTCACACCTGTTCTATTACTGGATAAAGGGGCCCTATTATGCTCATTATCACGTTTCATTTTTGTCTTTTTCATCCTTACTTGCGGCATGTTTACATGCTTTGCACCTGTTTCACCCTGTGTCTGAAACCAGACACAGGGGTCTGCTCTGATTGGTTAGCTGACTCTGTTGTGATTAGTCAACTGCTTAGAGATGTCGCGCCCCTTAGCTTATCACGTACAAAGTTTGAGAGCGCTAGTCAATAGAAGCGCATGTGTTACATAGTGATGTCACAATGTTCTTGAAGTAAACAAAGGAATCCAGTGGAGGCTTTCAGGAAGGGGGGTAGGTGTGTGGGAGGGATGGGATGTTAGCCTTTGCAGACCATTAACCTGCAGTAAAACATAACACACTACAGGAGATAGAAAACCCCAAAAGGCATATAAGGACCCCTTTAAAGGTTTTTAATTATTAGCTTATTTACAAAGGTCTAAAAAAGGCCCAAAAAAATTATATTTAGAAGATAAAGGTATAATTTGTATGCCAAATCGGTAAATCTATTAAACAAGAAATGTATGGAGCGAACATGACTTTAATGCGACTCGTGCTTTAAATTGTACCTTTTTTCCCTGGTCTATTCAGCTTTATGTAACTATACTTCCCAGTGGTTTTTATTGTTGTTCCTGCAGTTTTTTACAACTCATTGGTCTGGTTACTCTCAATGTAGGGTTTATTTAGCACTTGTATACAGTGTTTAAAGACCTGGAGGAGCAGAGTGGAACCGAAGATGAAGTGTGTGAGGAACTTGTGCCAAAAGTCCCACAGCTCAACACGTCAGACTGGATCCTACACTTCCAGGGAAAACTAAATAAACACAAACAGTTTTTGTGTTAGAAGACTTAATCTCCCCCTAGTGAGGAGAAACTGACACATAATATGCCTTCCACACACCTTCTTAATATCACTAGAAAGTAAACAGTAAAAAAACACACTTCTTTCATGGGTTTACAGCATAACCTGAAGCCCTGTTTAGACGCATTTAGATTTGAAGTCAATTTGTCAGAGTGACTTTCTTTTAAAGGATTTATTGAAATCCGCTATAGTTGTTATAATGGTTGCGCCATTAAGTTGAAAAGTAGAAACTATTTAACTCAATAATTGTTAGTTGTATCTCTAGTTATACATTTTAACTTCAACATGATGTGAATATTGTGTTCCTGCTTTAAGATCAGATAAATTGTCGTTTTTGTATGAGTTGGCACTATTTAAGACAAAAATATTGTCAAGATATATTTATCAAGCTAAAAACCAAACATTAACAAAAACATGTCAATGTGATGGAGTCATTTCCAATGTGCCCTTAAGTGACTTTTCGCCAAAGCACTCAGAAGAAGGTGGTAACACAAAGAGTAATGTTTACCTTTTATGATTGACAAGCAATAGATCAGCTTCCCTAAGGCAGCTTTTCCTAATTAGTATGTAAATCAGATGCAATTTGTCACAATGTCCCTGACAGGCAGTTAGCATGAGATGAACAAGCCGATCTGTCAGGATTTCAGCGGCGGCTTGTTGGCAGTGATGGAGGGCCGATTGTGTTGTGTCCTTAGCCTGAATAATGAGCGCTGTCTGTGAAGGTATTGCAGCCATCATTCTTTCCAAAGTCAGCCACTTACTGGGCGTGTGCTGCCATTAGAGTCCCACAAAGAGACCTGATGTATTGCTGGAACATGGGGAAACATTTGTATCGACACAAATAATTCAACTTTCTATCCTCACTCTTCTTAGGACATGATAATGAATTTCTCAATCTCTCCCCCCTCAGGTGGGCACCAGGCTCCGATCAGCAGTGACTCAGACTCGTCTTTCACGACAGGTGTGGAGGTAGACATGTCTGAAGTACACCTGTCCACGGAGCATGAATGTGACCCGGGCAAATCCTGAAAAACGCACAAATCAGCAGGACAAAGTGACCAGGGGCCCGTCAGAGATTCGCCACCTCTCGGGCCCCTAGAGGACTTCACAGATGATGAGCACTACAAAATAGCAGCACAAAAACACCCATTTCTGTCTTTATGGACCATGAAAAAACAATATGTGTCCCTGCATCTGTGGACGTGTTGCTTGCTAGTTTTCTAGCAGTAACCACTCACTGTTTTGTTGGTTTTACTGCAATGACGACCAGACAGCCAATCACAGCTCTCCCATTGTGGTGCCCCAACATTTTCACATCCTTAAACCAAGCATCTGAAATACACTTAAAACAAGTGCTCAGATTTTGAACCACAGTACTGAGAGGTTCAAATGGGTTTCTCTTCATTCCTTCCAGCTGCATCCAAGACTACTTAATGCAAGATAGCAGTTTTCATTATTATAAGAAGTGTGTGCAGATTGTTTGATTTTTTGGTATGGGATCACTGCCAAAATATTCCAGCAGTAAATGTTACTGATGTAATCAATATGGAGCATATAGGGTCTAATGTATTCCCTAACACTCTAATATGTGATGTTCAACCAGATGTCAACCACATACTTAGGTACATGTTTTCATCCCTAAAAAAAATAACTTAAAGCATTGGTCTTTAAGTTCAGTGGTAATTGGACATTTCAGAAGTTGGAATATGTATGCACATGTTAAGCTGTAATTTCTAAACTGTTTCTGTTTCTATTTGTGTAAGAGTTTCATATACGTCTCCTATTTAACCAACTGAATATTCCTGCTGTTGAGAGGAAATCAACAAACACATGGTAGATGTTTCTGTCTTCACGTTTGACAATCGTAACTTGCCACAAGCAGTTTGAAGTGATGTCACCCACGGCCCTACTGAAACTGCTGCTGATTCACACGTTATCACATGACGACGGTGACGTCTCCCTGCTGTCAGTCAGGAGGGAAGCTGTGTTCACACTACTGCTAAATACAGCTGCCGATACTGTTGCCACTACCGAACTCCTGGCAGTGTGCTGATACTTTTGACAAACTTCCTACACTTGTGAAACCAGCCAATATAAATATGTCAACAAGTCTTTGTGCCAAGATTATAGTAAATTGTTGTTATTTCCCTGGCTGTGAAACAGATTGGAATAGGATCATGATATAGGAGACTGGTTTGGTGAAAAGGATGAAGCTATGCATTACCCGACAGATCAAATGCATTTGGGTGCATGTTCAGGGTTTTCATTTATACATGTAAAGCTCCATGCATGGGATTGTTTATGGCATGAAAAGATAACGGCATGAAAATGTTAGCTGAGAAGTTTTGTTGGGAGTAGGTCCACACTATACCGGCTAATTCTGCAGCCACAGCAAATATCTGCACTCAAAACCTCCTGAATAGGAAATTGGTCAGCACACAAGAAAACTGCATCACACTGCAGGACCTCAGTTGGTTGAACTCCTGTTTTGTGCTGAGAAATGTATAAACTAAAATACAGGTTAGTGAGAACAGATATGGTAATTGCTATATTGACATATAAAAAAAGTTGCTTGTATTAACAAACCTGCAGTCAAACACCAACTTAGTGTGGACAGTGGGCCAACACAGAGAAATTAAGGTTTAAATCTTGCTGGCTGAGTGTGGACGTAAACTTAAACTCCTATGGCTCTGGGGACTGTTACTTCACACTCACCTTTACCGTTTCTGGTAATATTCATTCTCCTACTATTACTTTTGTTGTTCTGTAGTCATCCTGTATATCACCTTCTTAGTATTCAGTAATTGAACAAGGTCAGTAGGATCTAATTGTCGGTTGGATCTGTTTCCTCTCACATTCCTGCACTCTGAAAAGCACAGACTCGTATGACTGAGTCCGTGTAGCCAGTGGAATTCAACGTTGTTGTTTTGTTTTTTACTTCAAGCCACTATTTCCATTACTGTATGTCCTACAGCCACCTGGGACACTGTTACATAACAAGCACATCTCCTGTTCCCCCGTTTGAAGGATTATTGAATGTGTGAGTGCTCCATGAAGGCTTTCTTTTTATAAGTGCACATTTGAATTCACATTCTTTATTCCTTTAAATGTTTTGTTAGACTTTATGCTCTTGGTTCTAGAAGTTTATACCCATAGACAGATTTTCCTAGATGAGGTTAAAAATAATGTAGTTTCTTACAGCAGTGATTCACTGTGAAGTGCTGCCTGCAGGAAGCATTTATGAATGTACATTTTCACACTATATCTTATAAACAATGCGGTTGGTTTGACAGAAAGCTCGTTTTATGTTTAGATATGTATATTTTGCTTTGAGGATATGAAGGAGGTGGATGGTTGTGGTTCTTGCCAGCACGTCTGAGATACAGATGTTTACGTCTCAGCCGGCCTAATCTAGACCTTTTAAGCCTCTATATTTCACATCATGGATAATGAGATGGCACAATACATAAGATTACTCAGAAGCACTTTCAGATATCTGTTGTCCTCCTTGCTTTTCTTTTTTCGCTTTTAATTTCTTTTGCCATCTTGTCTTTGTTTTATGTTGGCACACAAACACTCTGTCTCTGCGACAAGATAAAGTAATGCACACAGTAGTGTTTAGTGTTAGTGCCAGATCTCTGGCTCTATGCCTACAGAGGGAATTAGCCAGACGATACATCTTTTTACAGAGAAATGTAAAGATTATATGAGTAAACTATAAGGTAATCATTGATTTGTGTCTGATAACAGTGTTTCTCTCTTGTAGGAATAAATACAATTCAAATTATTTTTTAAATACAAAAGACATTGGTGTACTCCATGTAATGGCATCCAGGTTTCCTGACAAGTTTGGTGCTAATTTGGAAGATTCTTTTTAAAGCAAAGCTCAACCAAAATATATGGTATTGGTTTACGGTATTCTCCCTATTTTTTTATTTTGTATGTATTCATTGTAATTGTTTATCTGACAGGGACTATAGTCAGAGTTTTCCTAAAAGCCAGATTTGAAAAAAGGCACCCCAAAAATGAAATTACAACATATTAATATGCACAAAACATTACAGTACACTATTACACAAGGAAGTTTGGTACAATGAATACTAGATGGCTAAGAGAAAAGCAACATATTAAATGATTTGCTGGCTATATCTATTTATTTCAACACTTCATCTACTGATACTGACCAAAAGTCTCACTTTGAGTACACTAGCAAATAATTTGTATTAATTATTTTTAAAAGAATGTACCAATTGATCAGTGCCTCTATTTTCTATTGAATTAGTAGCCGACCAAATTATCTCCTTTTATGGCAGGGGTCTGCATTTTAAAATGGGCCTTTTAAAATAAAGCATGATCCAACATGGTTTTATAATCAAAGCTATCACGTATTTGATTTCGTTCTTATGTGTATTCTTCTCTGTGTAAACGTTCCTATACTGCACTTTAACCCTCCAGTGAATGAGGAGCGGCTATATACTGAACGACTTCAGAAAGTATTTTTAATGGACAGCTTTTGAGAAAGAGGGCTACAGTATTGAACATGGCACAAGTCTCAGCTGTCGCTTCTTATATAATGTTGTGACCTTTTCTCTGTACTATTGTGTGTGTATGTGGGTGTGTGTGTGTGTGGGGAGGGGGGTGTAGGGGGAGTATCAACATATTGTACACTATACCTGGCAGAAATAACGGCATTGCTATTTTGTGATATAAAATAATTGTAAATATGATGAGCGGTGTCTCTGTCCTCTTCTTGTACCTTGATAGTAGCCTATATCTATATATTCCTATAGCATAGTGAGACTGTATAATACTCAATAATGTATCACGTTGTAGTGTGTAAGATATATAATATGATATATAGATAAATACATTTCAAGATGCAAAGAGATGAATGTTTATGGAGGCACTTTTACAGAGCTCAGGTGTTTAATAGTCTTATGGCCTGTGGAATGAAACTGTCCCCGAGTCTGGTGGGTTCTGTCCTGATGCTGTCGGCAGCAGACTGTCGGCGTTCTGGTGATTTACTCGGAAGCTGCTGGGACTCCCAGCAGCTTCAACTGAAGCCAGTCCCCAACTCCGGCCGGAGACTTCGGGTGGCAGTATACGCCGTGAAGTGGTTTGCAGCCTGCCAGTAAACCCAAAGCAGAAGAAGACCAAGTGACGTCAGCGGCTCATTTGCGTAATCTTCCCTCAGGGAACTTATTCCGGTGTGAACGCGATTGGTACTTAGTGCCCTGGGGTACTAAGTGCCGGGGCACTAAGTATGGCAAAGTATTTGGTGGGAAAGCGGCTAATGGTGCACCTCTACATGGAGCATGGAGAGGTGCTGAGCAAACAGGGTTGCTAAGCTCTGACATTTTGCGGAGTGCGATGACATCATTGGTGACGTCATGCAGATCGGTGACATCACAGAGCCTTTCCAGAACGTTTGCAAACAGACCATACATAAATAATGTTTATTTTCTTCTTTCTTTTTCAGAAAGGAAGTACGGGACACCACATGAATGCAGCACAAGTGCTCTAATCTTGTAACGTAACGTAGACAAAACTGACAAACACACAGACCCACACACAAACATGACCTCGCACCATGTTGATTCTTGTGCTGTCTTTATGACTATTGCAAACTTTCAGGAGAGGCTCTATGGCAGGGGTCTGCAACCTTTTTGACCAAAAGAGCAATTTTGCCCCCTTTTCCACAATTTTGTTTTTTTAATATAAGAAAGCACTGCGTAAAGCGAGAGCAGCCTACTACTCTTCATTAATAGATGAGAATAAGAATAATGCAAGATTTCTTTTCAGCACTGTAGCCAGGCTGACAGCTCGATTGAGCCTTCTATTCCCATAGCACTCAGTAGTAATGATTTTATGTGCTTTTTTAACGATAAAATTGTTATTCTTAGAAACAAAATTAATGACCTCTTGCCTTTGACCAGTATGGTGTTATCAACAGCTCCCGGAAGCGTAAGTTCTAATATTACACTAGATAGTAAATTAGAATGCTTTTCCAAACCTTGAACAATTAGATTCAATGATTCTCTCTTCGATACCATCAACGTGTATCTTAGACCCAATTCCAACTAAGCTGTTGAAGGAAGTTTTTCCATTAATTAGCACTTCTTTATTAAATATTATGAATATGTCTTTATTATCAGGCTATGTTCCACAATCATTCAAAGTAGCAGTGATTAAACCGCTTCTTAAAAAGCACAACCTCGATCCAGAGGTTTTAGCCAACTATAGACCTATTTCTAAACTTCCATTCCTCTCAAAGATTCTTGAGAAAGCAGTCGCAAAACAGTTGTGTGATTACTTAAAAAACAATGATTTATTTGAAGATTTTCAGTCTGGCTTTAGAACACATCATAGCACAGAGACAGCTCTGGTTAAAGTCACAAATGACCTTCTAATAGCCTCAGACAAAGGACTTGTCTCTATTCTTGTCTTGCTCGATCTCAGTGCTGCATTTGATACTATCGACCATGATATCTTATTGCAAAGACTAGAGCACTTAGATGGCATACAGGGAACTGCTTTAGGCTGGTTTAGGTCCTATCTATCTGAACGCTCTCAGTTTGTACGTGTCAACGATGAATCTTCCATGCAAACCAAAGTTAGCCATGGAGTGCCACAGGGCTCAGTGCTCGGACCTATTTTGTTCACATTATATATGCTTCCGTTAGGCAATATTATAAGGAATCATTCTGTAAATTCTCATTGTTATGCGGATGATACTCAACTATATTTATCAATCAAGCCTGATGAAATTAATCATCCAAATAAAATTCAAGACTGCTTCAAGGACTTAAAAACGTGGATGACCTTAAACTTTTGATGTTAAACACGACCAAAACTGAAGTTATTGTACTCGGCCCGAAGAATCTACGAAACAAATTATCTAAAGATAAACTAACTATGGATGGCATTAATTTGGCCTCCAGTGAGACTGTAAGGAATCTTGATGTTATATTTGATCAGGATTTATCCTTTAATGCCCACATAAAATACATTTCAAGGACCGCCTACTTCCATCTACGTAACATTGTAAAAATCAGGCATATCTTGCCTCAAAACGATGCAGAGAAACTAGTCCATGCATTTGTTACTTCAAGGCTGGATTATTGTAACTCTTTATTATCAGGGTGTACCAAGAAGTCAGTCAAGTGGCTTCAGCTGATTCAAAATGCTGCAGCTCGTGTACTAACCAGAGTTAGGAAAAGGGACCACATTACTCCTGTTCTGGCTGCCTTACACTCGCTCCCTATAGAACACAGGATATAATTTAAAATTCTTCTTCTCGCCTACAAAGCCCTTAATGGGCAGGCGCCATCTTACCTTAAAGAACTCATTATACCCTACTGTCCTACTAGGGCATTGCGTTCCAAGAACGCAGGGTTGTTGGTTGTTCCTAGAGTCTCTAAAAGTACAATGGGAGCCAGAGCCTTTTCTTATCAAGCTCCACATTTGTGGAATCAGCTTCCAGTTTGTGTTCGGGCGGCAGACACCCTATCCGTTTTTAAGAGTGCGCTTAAGACCTTCCTTTTTGATAAAGCTTATCGTTAGGGCTGATTAGATTCAGCCCCTAGTTTTGCTGATATAGGCTTAGTTTGTCGGGGGACATCTTACTTCTTCCTTCTCTCTGTCTATACCTGTGTACTCTCATGTTCCGAATAACCCAGCTTCCCCAAATTTCTTTCTTTTTGGTGTCTATATACGCCGGGATCCGGAGTCATGGATTATCTTGTTGCTGTGGTCCTGAGTCCTGGATCGCGAGCCCTGGATCTTGAGTCGTGACTGTGCCTGTTGCTGTGGTCCTGGATCATAGGTCCTGGATGGATGTCCTCGTGGATTCATCTTCCTATTATACACACATGCATTTCCAAACATTTGGACTACCTATGTTGCAAATGTATTATCTTTTCAATTTACACACGTGCAGTCTGTCCGTCCTGGGAGAGGGATCCCTCCTCTGTTGCTCTCCCTGAGGTTTCTCCCATGTTTCCCTTTAAACTGTGGGTTTTCTCCGGAAGTTTTTCCTTGTACGATGTGAGGGTCTAAGGACAGAGGGTGTCGTATTGTCATACTGATATTCTGTACAAACTGTGAAGTCCACTGAGACAAATGTAACATTTGTGATATTGGGCTATATAAATAAACATTGATTGAAAAACATTGATATTTTTTTGAAAAATAAATAAATAATAGTTATTTCAAAAAGTTTGCAATAGTCATAAAGACCATCAAAAATGTAGCAGAAGCTTTTAAAAAGGCACAACCTTTTTAAAAGCTTGTACTACATGTTTCCGTCATCACCGATGCAGACTGTGATGACATCATCGGCAACGTCATGCAGAATGCGATGACATCATCGGTGACATCATAGAGCCTCTCCAGAAAGTTTGCAAATAGACCCCCCATTCCTCCACAGAGTTTACGTTTTTTGACGATGCCAAGCAAACGCAGACAAGCCGCTCGCCCCGTGCGCAGACGCAAGAGACCTCAGAAGAAGTCCCTGGCTGCTCGCAGACGCAAGAGAGTGGTCCGACGCAGACGCTAAGCAACGACAGGAAACATGTAGTACAAGCTTTTAAAAAGGTTGTGTCTTTTTAAAAGCTTGTGCTACATTTTTTAATGGTCCTTATGACTATTGCAAACTTTCAAGTTGAGGCTCTATGGCAGGGGTCTGCAACCTTTTTGACCAAAGGAGCCACAACCCTTTTCCACACATTTATTTGAAAAGAAAAAAAGAATATTTATTTTTAAAAGTTTGCAATAGTCATAAAGACC